TTAACGAACGTGATCACCTGATCGCCTCGGTTAATGAACGTCTGTTCGTTTAACCGTTCGTCGTTCTCTTTTCTCGTCGGATTTATCCCGCGATTCTTCCGATCGTGATTTCAGATCCGATCTTCTTTCTAGTCTATCTTCTTGCTCGTTTATCGGAATCAGGTGATTCAAATGCCTGGAGTTTCGCCTCGAAACCGCCGTTCCGACTAACCAACTTAAACTAAGTTTTGTTACTGTAAAAATTTGACCTAGTTTCAACTTGCTAGAACCGAGTTGTTTTCTTTCGTCGTTTGACTTTCGATGCTTTATTTGATTCGATTCTTTTGCAACCAGGGTTCTTAAGTTGAACTCTCTGGTTAGATCTTTTATTCGAGATTTCCCTGTGCATTAGATGAGTACTTAATGTATGCTTGTTGTTTGTCTGCGTTAGATCACCCGGAGTGCGCCGCTTGTTACTTCGAATCTCTAGGTCACGCGGATCATCAGCAAGGCAAGTAACACTTGATCATATCTTTCCTACTACCCAGTTTTATTGCATTAGATCAAACCCTCAAACACTTGCATTTGTTTAGGGTCTAAATTAAATTATGGGATTGGGAAGTAGAATTGAGGTAGTACCTATTACCTGTTACTTATGAAACCTTGGGAGTTACTTCTACGTTTGCTTATTATGCTATGCTATGCTAGTAGACGTGGATTGGGTGAGTGAATATCCATGACAGATGTGAGATTGTTAATTAATGGTTTATCTAAGGTGGCAACCTAAACACACATCTGGGTGGATTGAGGCACCTGGTTTCCATCAGGACTTGCCTGTATTTTCTTCGGACCGCCACCCAGGCTCTAAGGGATCATAAGATATTTCAAACTGGAAACTTCCGTGTGCAGCCACAAGCCAATTATGGGCTCTGGCGTAGTTGATTAAGTTGTGCGAACTCTTACGGGTAGGCTAGCTGATGTAGGGGATGTAGGTTGGTACGGTCTACCCACATGTAAGGTGCTAGCGCTTCTGAAAGACTATGTCTCGGTCATCCGTTTCTCAAACACCATGCAGTGCGAGAACCAAGCGGAGGCGATCGAGTCTTGTGGGGAAAAGTGCGCAAACCTCTGCAGAGTATATAAACTAATCATGATTAGCCGTGTCCCCGGTTATGGACGTTTTGAGTATCTGGTAATTGAATATCATGTGAATCTCAACATGTTACCTCTAATAAAAGCTATTGGGTTTTAATGAGTACTTTTAATTGGGATTGAGGATGCTGTCAACCATTCTCAATGTTTAACAACCACCATGATAGTTAAACAAAATTATTCCTTTGATGTAGGGAAAAATTGGCTTTTCGCAAAACTGTAACCATAGAGCCTTACCACCAGCCAAATATGCATGTAGTATAGGCTTATTGTTTCATTACTCTCTATGTGTTACATTGCCAGCATATTCCATGTGCTGACCCGTTTTCGGGCTGCAACTTTCATGTTGCAGACTTTTCAGACGACGAGTAATGAATTTAGGTCGTGGTTCTATACTCAGTGATGCCGATGGAGTTGATGGACTCACTTATCTTCCAAGCCTTCCGCTGTTATCGTTATTAGATGGCCTTAAGCCATATTTATTGTAATAAGTCCTCTTCCGGACAATCGATGTAATAAGTGTGTGATTGCTACTCTGCTATAAATCCTTCGAAGTACTGTGTGGTGTCAGCATTACTGATCCAGGGATGACACCTGAGCACATAGACTTGATCCATTCGGGTCTGGTCGCTACAAAAGTACAACGCATCCCAGAAGTAATAGAAATTATAACGAGGGATCCCTATCAAAATAAAGGAACACACATACTCCAGCCCTACAAAAAATGCAGGATTTTCCCGTCACAGAAATGGAATCAACGTGAAAGAAATCCCCGGTGCCCCAAACGTGTGGTCCGTGCCTGGGAGCAGGAGATGATGCCCAAAAGCCGGGCTCGCTCGCTCGGGGGAATCAAATCCCAGGTTTGACCGGACTCAGCCTCACTCGGACGCTGAGCTGAAGAGACCCCCACACACATGCATGCCAAGGAAAGAAAGAAGAAGAAAATAAAGCGAGCATTTGGATTTTGGAGCACCCAAACCAACTCAACCATTTCCAATTTTCCATCCAGCCCCTCGGCGGGAGCGAGTAATTACCCTTGGAAACCCGCGCAGCCTCCCCCCGTTCTCCCGCGAATAAACAACTCGGCGCCCCCCTTCTTTTCGGGCTAAATTGCCGTCGCAAGCAAACAAGCCCCGTGGAGGGGAGGCTGCTCGCTAAACTAATGGCGGTTGAGTAGCGCGCCGGAGCTCTGTCTCTCCCTCCCTCCCTCCCCTGCTACTCCTACTTAAATAGTCAAGTGTAGGCCTGTGTGTGCTTCCTCTGCTTCTGCTTCTGCTTCTTCCTCGTCCAGCACCATCTCTCTTCCCTTCCCTTCCCTTGTCCTCGCCTGCGCGATTCTTGCGGCACCTAGATTCTCCACCTGTGGGATCGCTTCGTCCATTTCGTTCTTGATGAGGTTTCAGCTTCAGGCGCCCTACTTCTCCTCCTCGCCAAGGTGCGGGACTCTCCTAATCATTCCGGGCTCCCCTCTCTTTATTATGTTGCTTCTTGGTTTCGTTGCAGCCAATGTTTCGCTGGGCTTTTGTTGGCTTGAAGGTTGCAATTGGGCTTTTTTGGCTGGGACATGTTTGTGATTTGCGTCCGAATTGGAGCTCGTTTCTTGCAAGGATTCGTTCCATGGGTTCTATCCAGTCTCAGACGTTTTGGGTTTTGGGGGTTTAGTGCGTTGAATTTGGCCCAAGAATTACGCATTTGCTCCCGTTGTTCTTGCGTGCTTTCCCCTGCCAAGATTCCTTACGTTCTCCTTTTTTTTTGTTCTTTGTGCACGAGCAAATTGTGCTGCCAATTCGGGTCGAGTTTGCTTCCCTAACCGATGAGCTGAAATTTGGACGAATTTGCAGGGAAATCGCGACCCATATCTTCTCCGTCGACATGTGAAGCCACCCAAGAAGACGGCAGCACGCAACGCCCACCGCCGCCGGAGGCATCTCCTGTTTTCTCCTCCTTCCTTGCAAGAATCGACGGCTGCGAATTGACGCAGAGGACCAGAAGCCATGTCGGCCTCCCCGCCCTTCACGGTGGCCTTCTTCTCCTTCTTGCTCCTGCTGCTTCGGTTGCTGGCGCCCGCCATTGCCGACGCCGGCGAGGCGGCGGCGCTGCTCGCCTTCAGGCGCGCGTCCGTGGTGGACGACCCGCGCGGCGCTCTCACCAACTGGGCCTCCGGTGCCGCCGGCAACTCCACCGCGCCCTGCTCGTGGGCCGGCGTCACGTGCGCGCCGCCGCTCGACGGCCGGGTCGTCGCCCTCAACCTCAGCGGCATGGACCTCGCCGGCGACCTTCGGCTCGGTGCGCTCCTTGCCCTCCCGGCGCTGCAGCGTCTCGATTTGCGCCGCAATGCCTTCTACGGCAACCTCTCGCACGCGCCGCCGTCATCGTCGTCGTGCGCGCTCGTGGAGGTGGACATATCCTCGAACGCCTTCAACGGGACGCTGCCCCCGGCGTTCCTGTCGTCCTGCGGCGCGCTGCGGTTCCTGAACCTGTCGAGGAACGCCCTCGCCGGCGGTGGGTTCCCGTTTCCGTCGTCGCTGCGGTCGCTCGACCTGTCGCGTAACCACCTGGAGGACGCCGGCCTGCTCAACTACTCCTTCGCCGGCTGCCATGGCCTGCGCTACCTCAACCTCTCGGCCAACCTCTTCACGGGCCGGCTGCCGGAGCTGGCGTCCTGCAGCGTGGTCACCACGCTCGACGTGTCGTGGAACCAGATCTCAGGCGCGCTCCCCGCCGAGTTCATGGCGACCGCGCCGGCCAACTTGACGTACCTGAGCATTGCCCGAAACAACCTAACCGGTGATGTCTCTGGGTACAACTTCGGCGTGTGCGGCAACCTGACGGTGCTTGATTGGTCCAACAATGTCCTAAGCAGCACCGGATTGCCGCCGAGTCTCGCCAACTGCCGGCGCCTTGAGTCTCTCGACATGTCAGGGAACAAGCTTCTCTCCGGCTCAATACCGACCTTCTTCACCGAACTCCCTTCTCTGAAGAGACTGGCATTGGCCGGCAACGAGTTCGCCGGCCCGATACCGGAGGAGCTGAGCCAGCTGTGCGGCAGAATCGTCGATCTGGACCTGTCGAGCAACCGGCTGGTCGGTGGCTTGCCGGCGAGCTTTGCAAAGTGCAGCTCCCTCGAGGTGCTCGACCTCAGAGCGAACCAGCTCTCTGGAGACTTTGTGGCCAGCGTCGTCAGCACCATCTCCTCGCTCCGCGTGCTGCGGCTTGCATTCAACAACATCACCGGCGCGAACCCGCTGCCGGCGCTCGCGGCGGGGTGCCCATTGCTGGAGGAGATCGACCTCGGGTCCAACGAGCTCGACGGAGAACTCATGCCGGACCTGTGCTCATCACTGCCTTCTCTGAAGAAGCTGTTCCTCCCAAACAACTACCTCAACGGCACTGTGCCGACGTCGCTCGGCAACTGCGCTAACCTGGAGTCCATTGATCTGAGCTTCAATTTCCTGGTTGGTCAGATCCCGCCAGAAGTAATCACTCTGCCGAAGCTGGTCGATCTGGTCATGTGGGCGAATGGCCTGTCCGGCGCGATACCGGACATCCTATGTTCCAATGGCACCGCGCTGGCGACACTGGTGATAAGCTACAACAACTTCACCGGAGGCATCCCGCCGTCCATCACAAGCTGCGTGAACCTCATCTGGGTGTCGCTGTCGGCCAACCGTCTCACCGGGGGCGTGCCGCCGGGCTTCTCCAAGCTCCAGAAGCTGGCCATCCTGCAGCTCAACAAGAACCAGCTCTCCGGGCGCGTGCCGGCGGAGCTCGGCAGGTGCAACAACCTCATATGGCTGGACCTCAACAGCAACGGCTTCACCGGCACGATACCCTCGGAGCTGGCAGCCCAGGCGGGGCTCGTTCCGGAGGGGATCGTGTCAGGGAAGGAGTTCGTCTTCCTCCGCAACGAGGCCGGCAACATCTGCCCCGGCGCCGGACTGCTCTTCGAGTTCTTTGGCATCCGGCCAGAGCGCTTGACCGGGTTCACCCCCGCGGTGCGCATGTGCCCAGTCACCAGGATTTACACGGGCACCACGGTATACACATTCAGCAGCAATGGCAGTATGATCTTCCTCGACCTCTCGTACAACGGCCTCACCGGCGAGATACCGGACAGCCTCGGGAGCATGGCGTACCTCGTCGTCCTCAACTTGGGGCACAATGAGCTCAGCGGCAAGATACCGGAGGCATTTTCAGGGCTGGAACTGATGGGCGCCATGGACCTGTCAAACAATCACCTCGTTGGCGGCATACCCTCAGGTTTTGGTAGCCTGCATTTCCTCGTTGACTTCGACGTCTCCAACAACAACCTCACCGGTCCGATCCCTTCCTCCGGCCAGCTCACCACCTTCCAGCCGGCCCGGTACGGGAACAACTCTGGTCTCTGTGGCATTCCTCTGCCGCCATGCGGGCACAGTGCGGGAGGGGGGAGCGGAGGAGGAGGTTCACATGATGGGAGGAGGAAGGTGATCGGGGCGAGCATACTCGTCGGAGTGGCGCTCTCGGTGCTCATTCTCCTCCTGCTCTTGGTCACGCTCTGCAAGCTCTGGAAGAGCCAGAAGACCGAGGAGATCAGAACCGGGTACATCGAGAGCCTCCCGACGTCCGGCGCCACGAGCTGGAAGCTGTCCGGCGTCGAGGAGCCACTGAGCATCAACGTGGCAACATTCGAGAAGCCGCTGAGGAAGCTCACCTTCGCGCACCTCCTCGAGGCCACCAATGGCTTCAGCGCCGAGACCCTCGTGGGCTCGGGGGGTTTTGGCGAGGTTTACAAGGCCAGGCTCAAGGACGGCAGCGTCGTGGCCATCAAGAAGCTCATCCATTACACGGGCCAGGGCGACAGGGAGTTCACGGCGGAGATGGAGACCATCGGCAAGATCAAGCACCGCAACCTCGTCCCGTTGCTCGGGTACTGCAAGGTCGGCGACGAGCGGCTCCTCGTGTACGAGTACATGAAGCACGGCAGCTTGGACGTGGTGCTCCATGAAAACGACGACAAGGCCATGGTGAAGCTCGACTGGGCGGCGAGGAAGAAGATCGCCATCGGGTCGGCGAGGGGCCTGGCCTTCCTCCATCACAGCTGCATCCCCCACATCATCCACCGGGACATGAAGTCGAGCAACGTGCTCCTGGACAACAACCTCGACGCCCGGGTGTCGGACTTCGGGATGGCGAGGCTGATGAACGCGCTGGACACGCATCTGAGCGTGAGCACGCTGGCGGGCACGCCCGGGTACGTCCCGCCGGAGTACTACCAGAGCTTCCGGTGCACCACCAAAGGCGACGTCTACAGCTATGGCGTCGTGCTCCTGGAGCTCCTCACCGGGAAGAAGCCGATCGACCCGACCGAGTTCGGCGACAACAACCTGGTCGGCTGGGTGAAGCAGATGCTCAAGGACAACAAGGGCGGCGAGATCTTCGACCCGACGCTGACCGACACCAAGTCCGGGGAGGCCGAGCTCGATCAGTACCTGAAGATCGCTTCCGAGTGCCTGGATGACCGGCCGGCCAGAAGGCCTACCATGATCCAGGTCATGGCAATGTTCAAGGAGCTGCAGCTTGACTCCGACAGCGACTTCCTCGACGGCTTCTCGATCAACTCCTCAACCATAGATGAATCGGCAGAGAAATCATCGTTGTAATGTTTTCCTTTTCTTGTTCTTTTTTTCATGCTCTGGAGGGATAGAACAGCGAGATAGCTCAATCATTTTAGGTTACAAAAAAAAGGTCGTAGTGTCCTCCAATTCACTGGGGGAGGTTGTACTTTTGTGGTTCCACTCTCTGTATATAAGAGTCCAAAGTATGAAGAGGGACACGAAGGTAGTACTCCCTCCGTTCGGAATTACTTGTCTCGAAAATGAATGTATGTAGAACTAAAATACATCTAGATACATCCATTTCTGCGACAAGTAATTCCAAACGGATGGAGTAGCTTTTATATTTGCAGTAGTTGCAGGAAAAGGATCAATCTTATTGCTCGTGTTTCAGCATCAATCTTGCTCAAGTTCTTTTCAGTTGCATGTCTCAGACTGTCATGTGTACTTTTACCTACCAGAATCAGTTATTTGGAAGAATTGACTGTGTTGTTCTTGACTGTCTTGTTGCTGTCAGTTTATGATTGACACTTTGCAGGCGGTGGTAGTGAACAAAAATAGAGAGAGAGCCAGAAGATGTTACGTCCATGGCAGGCCATGCAAGTCATTATCTCATTTTCTATTGTGTATGTGCTTGACCGGGCGGCGTTGTCGTCTTTCCTTGACAAAACAAAATCTGTAGCCGATGGTGCTGATGTCAGTGAGCACAGGAATGCCGGCTCAGGGCGTTGAAAAATCCAGCCCCTAGATCTTGTGGGCAGTAGCACCACCTGAATCATGGATGTACTTTGCCAGGTTTTGATTTGTCTGCTTGCTGAATGATTGCTGTGGTGACGAAGCTGGGCAACAGAAATTAAAGGAGCTGTTCAGTTCTGCGACTCTCTCTGGTACTCGTATTCTGTCTGCTGACAGGGCCTGAGACGGATGTAGCAGACATCTCGAGCAGGTGGTTGTGGACAAACTGAAGAGCAGGAGGAGATAAGGTCTGAATCATATGGCAAAATTGATAAATTTGATCTCAGGGCGAAAGTATTTCACAAACTAAACTGTTTCTGAAAGTATTTTACACAACTGACTCTTTTGTGCAGCGCAGCGCCTTGCTGTCGGGCGCTGCATATAAAAGGTTAGCTGGGTGAAATACTCTTAAAAACAATCTAGTTTGTGAAATACTTTCGCCCTGAGGTTAAATTTGTTCATTTTGCTGAATCATATGCTGTACATTTTTCTTCCGTGGTTGCATGGGGTAGGATTTGCTGGCTCATCTTGGCATCCCATCTTTTCTCTAAAGCTTGGCATTTGATATTCTACATAGAAGCTTCCTATTGTTTTGTAAGACTATATTCCTCCTCTTTCAAAGACCCTGGTGCATGCTCAAGTCTTGCGAGGATCTATTATGTCAAAAGGGGGTTTCTGGTGTGTGTGTGTGTGTGTTCATCCATACTGAAACACTCTCCTTTGCATCGGCAGCTTTCGTTTCGTTTGTTGGCTTTTCTGCTGTCAAAGGTGGTTACGGCTTCTCTTCTGATTCAGCACATACTTTTGGACTTTGAACGCACGGGTTGCTTGCTGACCCTTAGACGGAGGATTAGGACCAAAGCTGTAGGAGTTGTATTACAGAATTGTCAAGTAGGGATGGCATTTTTTTCCCGACGAAGTCAAGTAGGGCATGGCATGTCGATTTTTGTTTTGTTGAATAATAAACTCTATAAAGACAGTAATCATGCACCTTTATCCACCCAGACGGGAACAAGGAACGAAAAGAGCTCCAAGCCAGGCCAGATGAGCAAGCAAGCCAGCAGGCAGGGCGAGCATCGCTTTCGTGCCCGCTCAGCGCATTGTTTTCAAAGGGATTTGGTGTTAGGCAGCTGAGCTAACCAGCAGGATAACAATGGAGACATGCGTGCGTGCGCGCGTACGTTACGTCCACACGTGTGCGTTGTAAAATCAGGGGCCATGAATGAATGATGATAATAGCAGTTGATTTGGACGCATGGTGCGTGTGCATGCGCGACTTGTTCAGTTTTGTTTCTTGTGTTCCGTTTTTCTGTCTGTCTAGCAGACAAGGGGAGCGCCCGTGGAGGAGGAAGGGCATCATGGCTGCATGCTATGATGAGGCAAATCTGGCAAATGGCAACCCCAGGCCCAGCTCATGTGTAGTGTAGCCCAGCTCATGTGTAGTGTAGACAATTAGAGCCAGCCCCAGCTGGTGCCATCATCTCTCTCTTACACGAGCACACACACACGGTGCAAATGTGGAAACAAATGCCACTTGGCATGCTTTTCCCAGACATTTGGCCTGTGGCTACAGCTGTAGTACCAGAGAAAGAACTGCACACTATGTAATTATTAGAAGCAGAGAGAAACGAACCACTGAATTGTCTTAGTCTGAATTAGTAAACCGCATGTCCCTGTCTGCTTACTTGCCTGATGAGGCTTCCAATCTTGTCCTCTGATGATGATATTACTCTTGCGGGCCAGTCATCCATGATGCACGCGAGCCATACTTGACGCTGGTGA